AGCCAGGAGCGGAGACCGCGAGCGCCGGATCAACTGGGAAAGGCCGTGGTACCGAGCTTCTGTAGGGGCTCTGCGGAGGGATGCAGGCTCTGGAAGAGGGGTGGGCCGTGGGGCAGAGCCCAGATGTGCTCCGAGGCCATCAGGCGGGCAGAGAAATGGGCTGGGGGAAGCGAGGTTGGGCTGCTGGTGGAGCGGGGCTGGGAACAGAGCGTTTCGGAGCCTTTGACTGGAAGCAGATCGAGGGTCTGCCCGTGGGAACTGGCCCAGCGGCTTCGCAGCGTGGGCCGTGGGGCAGAGCCCAGATGTGCTCCGAGGCCATCAGGCGGGCAGAGAAATGGGCTGGGGGAAGCGAGGTTGGGCTGCTGGTGGAGCGGGGCTGGGAACAGAGCGTTTCGGAGCCTTTGACTGGAAGCAGATCGAGGGTCTGCCCGTGGGAACTGGCCCAGCGGCTTCGCAGCGGGACTGGGGAGGTGGATTTCTGGGGCTCCAGGCTGTGTGAGAGGCGGCCAGACAGCTCCTCTGTGTCATACCAGCGTAGAAACTGAAGCAGTTTTAGGAGGACCCCAAACTCAAAAGGTAGCGACGAGCTCCAAGTGCTCAAATGGGGTGACGTTAATTGCTTCGTTAGTTTGTGGTCGTGTGCCTTTCCCGAGTGGCCTGAGCCAGCCCCAGCCCCACGCGTGCAGGGGAGCGGGGGTCAGCTGGCCGGCACCTGGTGGCCTTCGGGCTGCGTCCGAGGGCTCACGCGCTCCGGGGCTTTACAGAACGCCTGGAAAGGGGTTATTTTAGCCAGTTTGAAGCACTGATCTCCAGGGCAGGATCAGTGCTGTGGGACACATGGCGGGGAGCCCGGGGAATGCAGTCAGTTTGTTCAGGGGTGCGTGTGCCCGGTCCGGCACCATGGCCACGTCCTCCCAGCTGGCAGGCTCTGTCCTCTGCCCCTCTCCAGAGGCGCTCCAGACGCCAGCGGTCATTGGCGGTTTCTGCTGCCCAGTTTCCTCCGCTGACTGTCATCCGACTTGTGCACCCGGAAACACTCCTTCAAGTTCTGGGCTCGGATTTTGGGGTTCAGGATCTCCTCCCCCATAGAACTGGGGAACCAGCCCCTCTCCTGGTCGTGCAGGCGCTCCCCAAATATCCAGCCTGAGCAGAGACAGAGACAGGCATCAACGGGGAAGGACTGGCCCTTGCTCCTGCGCTGGGACGGTTGTGCTGGAACAAGCCTACGGAGCCGGCAGTGCTTTCTGGAAGCTGCTCAGAGGCCCGAGCTGGAGCGGCCCCAGTTTGTAGACCTGGCCAAGGAGGCCCACTCCCCCGAGCAGCACTCTGTTTGGACAGCTGGCTCGATGGATGCCAGCAGAAAGCAGGCACCACCGCCACCGAGTGCTCTCCGCTGCCCCGCCGCCACAGGAGTGGTTCACAGCAGAGACCCGATGCGACCGAGTTCACCAGCTACAAGCGTGCCCCAGAGAGCAGGACCAGGTGGCTGTGAAGCATCACCAAGGTCAGAACAGCTCCCGGTTACGTCTGGGGTGGCTCTGCCAGCCCCGCCATGGCCCCCAGCCCGCCAGGGTGGTTGTGCCAGCACCGCCGCAGCTCGGGGCAGCCTGGATTTGCTGAGCTTTGGGAGGAGGCAGCTGCGATGCCAGTGCTGGGGTTTCTTCCCTGCTGGAGGACCCCAGCTGCCTGTTTGACGGGTACCTACCTAGAGCATTGCCTGGAGGACCCCCTCCTGTCTGTTTGATGGGTACCTACCTAGAGCATTGCCCACCCTTACACAGGGACCCCAGGCCCACCCCATCCCCCATACCATCGTCTGTCTTGTCCAGGATGTTGAGGACATCAGCCAGTTCCAAGGAGAGCTCATCCGGCTGCTGGGCCACGTATGGGTGGACGCACTGGATCTGCGGGCAGTCTGCCAGGGAACAGGGTGAGAGTGAGCGATGGTCTGGGACAGAGCCCACTGCAGGACAGCACGGCTCAGGTGAGTGCACCACCGCGAGCGCTGCAAATGGTCTCTCGGATCTGGTGAGAAACCCTGCGGAGGCCACGGGGTGCCCCAGCCACGGGGACCGCGGGAGCATCTCTGTGGGGATCACCACTGCAGTGCTACCCATGCTTGGGTGGGAGGAAGAGTGCTGGTGCAGCCCAGCCCAGGTTGGAGGGGAGCAAGGTCTGGACCAGGCCCGGAGACAAGTGGGTGTCGATGGTGGAAATGCAAGGGGAGCCCAGGGAGAGGGTTCGGCTTTGGCAGAGACCCCAGGCCTGGGGCCAGACTCAGATAGGGCGGAAGAAGGTGCCCTGGGGTAAGGGTGAAGCGCTCCTTGCTCCCACGCTGTGTCACTTACCAACAAGTCTGGATGTAAATGAAACGAACTTGGTTCTCCGGTTTGGGGCCAGCGAAATCATCCAGCGCTTCATTTCGCTCCTGGACACGGGAGACAAATCGAGGCCGTGAGCGCGAGACAGCCCTAGGCACCCCAGCTCTCCTGCCCAGCCAGCCCTCCTCGCTCCTCCTCTCGCAGCCCTTTCCTGCCCGCCCCCCGGGGTCCTGGACTCGCTGGTGATGCTGAGCCCCCCTCTCGCACACACCGGTTGGGATGTCGCTGGCTGTGCCCACAAGCACAGGGTCTCCTTTGGGGAGCAGCACGGCTTCAGGGAGCCAGCAGCAGAGTGGGGGGCCTGGCATCCTCTCAGCTCTAACCAGGGAAGGCAGCTCCTGGCTCAGCTGGGTCAATAGGAACAGTTATTCCCGGAGAAAAACAGTCAGAGGAACCATTTATTCCTGTGGCTGCTTTCCAGGAATGTTTAAAGGGCAGAGCTGATTAATTCGCTTGCAGACGAACGCTGCGGCACACCAAGGGTACCGCTCGCTCGGCAGCGGATGAGACCCACGTGAGCACGTTGCCAGATCCAGCACGCTGTTGTGCAAAACCTGGCCCTGCAGCAGGAGGGTGACGATCTCACAAGCGCTGGAGAAGCCCCAGGCCCGGCGCTCGCTCGAGGCTTCCCCCAGCCCCCCGGGGACCCGGGGCAGCTCATCTTCAGGGGTTCCAGCGAGCAGCAGCTGGGCCGCCAGCCCCGAGGGAGCCACAACTATCTACCTTCTCAGACAACGGTTTTAAAGCCTGAACTTGACACACATCTAAAGCCACCAGAGCGTTTCCTGGGAGGAGAGAGGCCTAAAAGGGAGATGTGAAGGACGAGTGTCGGGAGGCTGACCTGCAGGGAAAACCATGTGCTTCAGGGCTGAAGTGGAATGCCAAGGAGCAGTGAAAACATCTGCATCTGCAGGTCGAGTGCAGCCCCTCACGCCATGAAGACGGGCAGAGTAAGAGGCTGGCACACAGAGCCGTGCTTGCGGCCCTGTCTACAGACTGGCCTTGCACACAGCTCCCTGCAGGGCTCTCTGGATCCTGCCCCCCAGCTCCTCTCAGCCTGCTGCACCGTCTTTCGGCGCACCAGAACTGCTGGCAAGCCGTGCGCTGGATGACACGCTTGCTGTGGCCATCTAGAAGATGGGACAGGATGCAGAAGCACAGAACTGTCATTGCCTCCCCTGAGCTGAGGCAAGCCCTGGCCTGGTTTATTGTTCTCCGCTCAGCTCGGTCTCACAGACGTCAAATGTGCGTTTGCCCTGCATAACGTGACTGACATCTCTATTTTTGGTACAGCAAAGCTGCAGTCACGGGTCTGGGGAGAAGGTGTGGCTGCTCACTGTGCTGGGGGCACTGCACTGGGCTCGTCGGGGTGCAGCCTCTGCTCCCCTCTGTGGCTGGTGTTCATTAAGAGACATGGATGTCAAATGCTGGCCTACTGACAGGGGTGTGCATCATCTCTAGTAGCTGTTTAGCTGGTGGTAGACGTACACCTACAATAGCACAGGCGTTGTGCCTAGAAAACATGGGCCTGGTAAGGCTCGGGTCAATGAGAAATCCATGCCCTGAGCTCCAAAACAGTCAGGTCTGTGTTAGCACGCAGCTGAATCGTTTGTCCAGTCTGAGCTTGTTGGAGCCTGAAGTGAAAAATCAGCGAGCTAAAAAACCTGCATCCAGGGAGACAAGGAGGCCCCGAGCAGCAGAAGGGCTGTGCAAGCACAGCTTCGGCTGTGGAAGGGGCCGGGGAAGCGGCCTCTTCTCCTACCCTTCCCCACCAAAACACTTTGCTTCACACGGCTGGTCAGGCACGGCCTTGACCTTTGCGAGTGAGCCAGCTGAGCTGCTGGAGCGTGCACAGCGTTATGTCCTACCTGCTTTTACTTTCTGAATATGCTGTGGGCTGCAAATCGGTTGAGCTCCTGTGCTGGGGCTGATTTCTGACCAAAGGGCCTGTCTGTCCTCCACCCTGGGTGTTACAGATACACCGTACAGGAGAGAAACCTGCCTACTTCGCTGGTGCCTTTCAGTAGGAGAGGACAAAGGTGGCCATGGGAGAGGGACGCTGGGCAGAGAGGTCTGCGGGGCCAGGCCAGCTGCAGCAGCGCGTTCTCTGCCTGCCTGACGCCGGTGAGCCCGGGGAGCTGGTCCCCATGCAGGCAGGGTGCTGCCCTTGCACCGGTGTAGGGGGAGAGCAGCGCTGAGTGCTGGTGGGGTGACTGGTGTACTCACTGGGACGATGCCTTCAGCATGTAGCTGGCCTCCCGGTCATCTGCGTTTTCCAGCAGCCTCAAGATGAAGACGTTGGCCAAACTCTGCCCCTGATCTTCTAACTCTTCTACCCGAAGAAGTCCCCGGGGAGCAGAGTCAAACACTTGGTACTTGTCCCTGTGAAAGGTCAGAGAGGAGATTAGGAAAAACTGCAGTTATCCCAGCAGACTTTGGCTTCAGCCGCCCAGAACTGTACAGAGGACACAGACCAGGAACCACAGCATGGCAGGAGGAAAAAAGATGTCCTGCTGTGGTAAGGGATGAGTGGGTATCTACGAAAACCCACCTCAAAGCAAGAAACCCTGCCCTTGCCCTGCCTTAGGCACGCCACATGGCCTAGAACAAGTTGCTGGCTCTGCCTGAGCTCCCCGTGTACAAAACACAGAGGGTGCTCCATCAAAGCGGACTGTGAGACTTAATTCATTCCTATTTGTAAAATGCCTCTGTGTTTTCTGGTTACAAGCTGCCACAGAAGCAAAATATTTCCAGGCGTACAGACACTGCGGCGACACGTTTATTAGAAACGTTGGACTGGCGAGATGCTCCCTACCGGTGGGTCTCGTTAGTGCTACAAAGAACACGCTGTTCCCCGGGACCCGTCTGTGCTGCTGCATTTCACTAGTGTCTCGTCACACAAGACCTAGTCCTAAGCACAACGCTCTCCTCCTCCTTCTCCCAAGGCAGCTTACTCCACGTCAAACGTAACCGCTAGCCTCCGGCCAAAAATTATACCCCTCCTTGCAGCTCACAGTTTCTAGCCTGCTTTCTTAGAAGTTTAACTGACAAAATCTGAGCTGTTCTTCAGGCAGCGACGAGTCAAAAATCACCTCTTGACAGGAAGACAGGCCTCCTGGGTCATCCTGCCAGTTGATGTAACTCCTTGCCGCTCTGCAGAAACTGGTGGATTACATGCTCGCTTACCCTGCTGGGAGACCTGACCTGGAATCTGTTTAAGTCCTGTTCGCCGTAAATTGTCAGCTGGAGAGAGCTGAAGATGTCATGAAGAGTCAGTTGTGCTCAGAGGCAAGGTGACTGCTGGAGGGAGGCGTACGGGTCGGGCCAGGATGCCCTCCCGGTGCCTGGGGGACAGGACGGGGGCCCAGCATCGCGGCTTGGATGAAGCCAGGGGCGAACAGGACTAATGAAGTGCCCGGCGTACTACTCCAACTTTGCACTCACCCAGGAATCTGCCGGCAAATTACCAGCAGATCATTGAAAAGGAACAAGTAGATTTCTCTGAAGAGTTTCTTGGTGCGAAGTGTTCGTGATGTCTTTGGACCATTCATTTGCTGCAGTTCACCCTGCTTCAGCAGCCAGCGGGAGTGAGAGATGATGGGCACAGACTAGAAGGGATGAAAAGATGGCAAAGATCAGGAGAGCAGCAAAAACCCATGGGCTTATGTGGTCAGGATGCTGCAAGCAATAAGAGATGCAGAAGGCAGGGTGGTGAGCTCCCATTGCCCCAGCTTGCACTGCAGAGGATGGAGCAGAGCCGGGCAGAGAGGGCAGCGTGCTCTGCCAGCCACACCGCAGCCCGGCACAGAGCGTAACAGAGCTCAGACGGGGACGCGACAGGGGCCCGAGGATGAGCAAACACTGAAGGACAGCCATGTTGGAGTGCCAAGTGCCAGATCTGAACACCAGACTAGGCCCTGCACATCCTGATCTGCCTCTGGGGATCCCGTGTCTCATCACCTGGGCTGAGCCTTCCTGGCCAGGGAGAAGGACTTTCAAAAATGTTTATTTGGCCATTTGGCTGCAAGAAACACGTTCAACAGGTTCTCATTGGTTGGGTCTATCCCAGACAGGAGGAGACACTGTCCAAGCAGCCACAACAGCACTTCTGCTAAAGCTTTACCATATGTGGAGTTAAAAACAAGAAGTCCAGAACAAAGCACATCTTATATTAGAAGAATGCTATGCTTCTAGTCAAATGACTGAAAGACTGGAAAATATCTGTGTAACTGCTACTCTTTCCACCTTCACTCCCTCCTTGTGTTTGTCACATGCGTGGTGGCACAGTCCTTCCTTCCACACTCTTGCATTCTTATTACCAGAGGAGCCCTGCCTGCGCCAGCGCCCAAGGCAGACCTGCTCCAGGGATGAAGCAGCTCCTGCCTGCCATTACGGCCTCAGTTCTACAAGAGATGAAGGCAGCCTTGTAGCTACCCCAATCTAGTGCTGTCCTGAGGACTATGGTCTAGGCTTGACACACTGTTAAAGTGCTCTGGAAAATCAAATTCTTGAGTGCCCAGTGTGGCTTTCCAAACAAATGATTTCACATTTTTTTGCTTTGGTTGTTCAGGTACATAAAAAGGTTGCTGGGAAGCTAAATACGCTCCTCAAAGTTTGCGAAGCAGAAAGATCTGAGAAGCGTCTCCACAGCACTCAAGCAAAGAATTGACAACTCTGTACTGGAGTTTCACGGCGTATATAATGAGATCTGGTCACACATCACTAAATATTGATTCATTCATTGCATGACTGGAGCCAAAACAGATCATTAGCAGGTAATTAGAGACTCATATGTAATGCATAAACGCAGGGATGAATGAAAACAGTGGAACAGTCTTCATTTTGGTATTTTTCGACTTTAAAGTGTTTTGTTTTGTAGCTTTCATCTCCCTTTAACATATCTTGTAATGTAAAGTAATAGCTGAAAGCTGACCTGCATTTTGAAGAGAGGTGAGGGGGAAGAGCCAGAACTGAGTGCTGGAGCGGGAGCTGCCCGCTGCACACAGGCAGTCTGCTGCCAGCGTGTCACATCCGTGTACACACACAACGTGCTGGCCTCAGGGCTGCCCCGGCCTCTGCAGCACGCAGGCACGGAGACCACGCGCACGGATGCAGTGCCTGCAGCAGCATCTCCTTCGAAGGTTTGGAGGGGGACAGTGTGGACTAGGTCACCACTGGACACTCACTAAAAGGCGTGCAAGTAGGTTACTACTGCCGTGTATGTGCACACAACACCTGGATGCTGTTGGCTCACTGTCTGTAGACGGTTACCAGCCTGTACTTATACCTTGATCTTGAATTCCAGCTTTTTCTGGATGCTGATCATCTGCTCTGTTCGGCTCATCTTCCTGACACCTTCATTACATGCTTTCACCACCTGGGAAAAAGAGAGTAGAAAGATTTGCCTCCACCAGCCTGAAGCGGGTAAGTGATGACGGGCAGCACAGAAATGCCTGACCGTGACAGGGTAAGTGTCCTGCTGTAACAGGAATTGACCAAGCCAAGCTCTTCTATCAGCACTGTATTTGCGGGTGGGGGACAGGAACAAACAAACAAACCCACCCCAGAAAACAAACTGAAAACCCCCCAAACACCCAGATGATGTTATAGCTAGAAGCCGACTATCAGAGGACATTTTAGATGGCTGCATTCAGTTACTGAACCAGACAGTATTAAGCAATACTCCTGGTTGCACAGCAAAGGGAGCAGCTCATTTTGCAGTTCCTGACACACCACACATCTCATCTCCTTGTCCCCAACACTTCAAACGAGGCACATGTGCAGTAGCATCTTCAGGAAGAGAATGAAGCCAAAGACCTTCACTTGAAAGATGCAAATGCTGTGGTTCTGCCAAGCAGCACCAGATGCCAAGGCTACAAAATGTCCCCGGGAAAGAGATGTTCATCATACAGAGCCCAGCTGCATTCTGAGTAGCAACTTTTAACTTAAAAACCACAATCAATGCGCAGGCACTACCCTATTACAGGGACCTTAACCTAGATGCCACTGCCTGTTTCATAAGGAGCAACTCTCTTGAGAACTGGCTAGACAGAAAAATTACGCTGGAGAACAAGCGTGCTCTGTTTCTGCTCCTCAAAATCCACCAGAATACCAGTAACTAACACAGTGCTCAGCTCTTACCTCTCAAATAGGATTCCTACAGGGAAAATAAGCATCAGATGATCTATGTTGTGGTGCCTGTACCCAGCTGGACATCAGGCATCTAAACTTAAACACTTACAGGTAAGTAACCGTGCAAAGAGAGTTATGAAATTGATAAGAGTCCCTGACAGCTGAATATAAAAAGAGCATTTTTTCCATCAGCAGTTGTAGTCATCTGCATACTACAGGAACAGCCTTCCTCAGGCTTTTGACCTATGGAAAAACAACTGGCTACCAGACACATCATGAGGGATTCTGCAAATACTAATGCAGAACATTCTTCATTGCTAAGGTCTCTCTCTTTATCCCTAGCGATCTCCAAAGTGTACACTTCCTAGACTAGCTCAGGGCAAATCCAAGAACCCATTTTGTTCCAGTATTTCAGTCAGAAACTGCAACTCTATCTCTAGCACAGTTTTCAACTTCCAATACTTTTATTGAACTGCAGGATTCAAGAGATGTTCCAAGCTTCTGAGGGAGAAGGGTTCAAACACTCTGTCCCAGCCCACATAGCTGCCAGCTGCGTCCAGACCATTCAGCTATGTACCCTGGAGGTGGGATCGCCCTGTCTGACCATGTTGGGAACAGCCCAGAGGGAAACCATCCCAATGCCTTCCTGGTGTTTTGTACACAGCAGAAACTAGCACAACTGAACACCACACCTCCCTACCAGCTTCAGGGAAGAGGGATAAAACCAGCCCTGAGTACTTAATTAAGAAACTGTTATTCTAGGTCAGAGGAAGAAGTGTGCTGTATTGGAGGAAACTTGACACAGTTGTACTCTGCTGCCTGTGGCAGCTAATTATATCTCTTGCTGGGACCCATCACCTTCAGGTATCTGCAAAAACAATTTGTATTCTTGAAGATCTCAAGGGAAAACATTCTCTCTGCCCTTTCTTACAGCAGAAACATGCACATCTGTTGTTAGCAAGGGATTCTTCATCACTGACATCTAAGTGCTGCTACATTAGTCCATCTTTGAGAGCAAGGAAGACTTAAGGAAAAAAAATTACTCTTGAAACACAGTGACAGGATCCAAAGGGACCGCTCCAGAAGCGAATGTAGTTTGCAGGTCTTTTTTTTTTGGGGTGGGGGGGGCAGGGAATGAGCACGATGGTTTAATGTTAATGGCCTTCAGTTAGCTCATTCAAACTTACTGTTTCCAGTTCTTTATGCGCATCCAGGGCAGTGGTTTCCCTGTCAGACTTCTCTTCCACTTTCTTCAAAATATTCTGCAGGGGAGGAAAGGCTGTGTTAACTCTGATCCCAATCTGACAGCACAGGAAGGTCTTTGCTAGCTTCTGAGTTATTTCTGGCCATCAGCCTAATTACAGGATAGGTGACAGAATGCAGTGACTCTCACCTCGTAGTTCCTCTTTCTCATTAAAACCTGCTTCCATCTGACCTTACATCTAAAAGAAACACAGGCAGGCTGCTGTTTTATAAAAATAAATTAATAAATAAAAATAGCTAGAGCTGGCACTAGCAGACAGCGTTACTGGTAATCCCAGTGGGACAAGACCATTTGGGACTGAGCTCTTTCCTCATCCCTAGAAGCGTGTCCTCCAGCAGTGTTTAGACAAGCTGGCAAAGCACAGCAGGAAGATGGCTGACAGTCTGGTCCAAGCCACCGTGATGTAGGATATCATACACGGGGCATTTCCACATTCTGCACTGTGCATCTGTGTGTCAGCATCCTAACCACCAGGCAGCTGGGCTGATGGACTGTTGCGACCCCTTCTAGCAGCTCAGCAAAGTTCCTTCTCAACTCTTCTGATCAGTTAAAGCTATCTGGCAAATTCAGCACCAACTTGGGAATGGTTTCTGTGTGACTAAAATCTTTTTTCTATAGCTGTTGAGAATGCCTGATTCTATGGAAAGGCTTCATCCAGCTCTAGGGTTGATCATGGCTGTATCTAAGCCTCATTCACAACTGCTGGAATGGAAAAATCCAGGAGCGATCCAGAAGGCCTTCGGGAGAGAGAGAAAAGCAAAACTCTACCTGCACCAGCAGCTTGAGCCGAGTGATCCTTTGAAATGGCAGAATCAGGAAGGAAGAAAAGGACAGGCCTTTGCACTTGGGATCCAGCTCCAGCTGTGAGATCACCTCCCGGAAAGCTGGCTTGTCTTGGCTGAGAGGAGAGAGAGAGACAAGGTGAGGGCTCCGAGCGCTACCCAGCCTGCAACTCTGTTATGTAGCTGGTGACCCAAAAGCAGCTTGGTCCTAGAGACAGCATCTCTGCCGTAAGAGAAAAGAGGGGAGGAGGGGACTGAATGCTTCTAGGTGTATTTCAGTTTAAATCTAGAGATATTTATAGTGCTGGGGGATGGAAAAAATAGACTTTTTATGTACAAGCCATGGTAGTGTTCACATGTGTTAGCACATCTAGCTCAGCGGCATACGCTGTGTGCGTAGGTGTGTGTGAATGGGGTGTGTGTCCAAGTAGATGAGTCAGAGGCATAATTATATATTTTTACACAGTTGGAACTCTGTGACAAGGTGAAATTCACGCAGCCGTAAGAACAAGACAAGCCACAAAACAGCTCAAGCTTGGCTACTCCTGGCTGCTTCGCTGGAGGATGGAGATCATTATCTGGCCTGAGAAGGACATGGGCTGTGCCCAGGCCTGCCCTGGTGCTGTTTGCAGCAGATGAGGGCACTGCTGGGTCATGGACTCAGCTGCACAGAGCAGCCTCACAAGCCCCAGCTGCCATGGTCAAAGACAATGCTTTCTGGCAGCTGCAGGTCCCCGAGGAAGACTTACGCTGCCGGAGTCCTGGCTAGCAGAAACAGCACGGATGTGAAGCGATTGCTAACTGCACAAAACCTGTCTTTGCTGCGTGTGACTCGCAACATCCATGAGAAGCCGTTGTGTTTCTCCCCGCTGCAGCAGGTACTTGTGTGACGGTGTCACTCACCGGTGTGAGCTGCAGCAGAACGGACCTGCGTGCACCTGAGGAACAGCTAAATGGGGGGGAACTGTGACATGCCTCAAGCTTCGAGTTCAGCCGAGGGCTGCAAAATTTCCGTGCTCGCTAGGAGCTTGCGGAAGGGATTTTATTCTTTCCAATTTGCTTTATGTTCTCCCACAGATGAAAAAAATGCTGCCCTTTAAATTTGTATCTAGGTATACCACTATCTCCAACAGGCCCTTTTCAAGCTGAAGTAATCCAGCCTATTGCTGCATTGCTTCTGAGTGTTTAGCTTAATGGCTCTAGGCAAACTGTTTATATTCTGTAGCTATATTGCTCACCTCTGACTGAAGGAAACCCTGCGGTACCCTCCTTCAGGAGAGAACAGTTGGCCAAGCTCAACAGAGGCCCCTTAAAGTGTTTTTTTTTTTGCCTCAAAAGCTGGAGAGCAGAGAAAGAAAAGGATTAGGGCTCGTTACACAACTGCTGCTATAGCAAGGAAATACAGCCCACAGCATGTGCAGTGGGCTGTCCTGAAAGAATCCATGATGTTGTAACTAAAGGAAAATTAATTCTCCTGCTCAGAGACAAACTTGTAGGGCACTCTTTGTTTTAAGCTGGCATAAAATAATTCCTACTGGACCAAAAGACTTGCTAAACTTGAAAAATACTGCAAAAATATCTTGGATTATATCCTCAGGTCTAGGTAATGTCTGCATGTCTAACACCAGAATGTGAAGAAAATAGCTTTTATTTTTCCTTTTCAGAAAATTCTGCTGTTCTGAAAAAAAAAACAACAACGAATTCCCAATTTTGGGAAGGCCAAATGCCTTGTTGAGAAGCTTGGGAAAAGCAGTGGCTGTTCTTGTCATCAGAGATCTCTATTATATTCTTGGCCTTTCACTCTCTTACCTCTACGTGCAGTTTAAAAATACATACATTTCACAAGCATGTGTCCCCATACACATCATAAATATTTCCCACAGTTGGGGACTGCTGGCTCTGCATTTACTTGGCATGTTACCTGCATACTATAGTACCCCACCGCTGCTATAAAGCCTTTTAATCGTGTTTTCTTTTTGTAGGTGCAGTGAAAAATCAGTGAAGTGGGAAACCCTGTTTCGATAGTATCTAGCCCCTTCTCATAAATATCAAAATTACAGGTAAATCCGTGGCCTATACAATTTTGCAAAATAATGTAGCATCAAGCAGTGGAACTCACAGAAGCTGCTTGTAAGCTCTCTCCTGGTAGGTCTGGTTGGAGACGTAGGTGATGTACACAGAGAAGTGATTAACCGTATGCTGGTAGACGATATCGCACACATCCGAGATCACAATATTCTCCTCCACCCGCTGCTCGAGGTCCAACAGGAAGCTAGATGAGAAACCCAGTGCTCATATTAATTGTGACCTGTCTATTCCAGGTAATTCCCAGAAGAAGCCCTTGGGGTTCAAAGCAATCAATGTGTCCACAGGCTCTTTGAAAAGACAGTGGGTAACAGACTGGCCCTAGTCAGCACCTCCATCCCTCTACAAATGAGGTTAGCTAAAGCGATGCCGTTCAGCTGGACAAACATCCAGCAGCAGTCGGCTTACCGCTCACTAACAGCCATGACATCCAGGACATTGGAGAAGAGGATGTGTGCCTCAGACTGGTGTAAGATCTTTTTCAGACGTTCATTCTCCATGAAGTGAGACACCAGCAGATTGAGACTCTTGTAATACGAGGCTTCGGAAGTAACCAGCTCAAACATGGCCTGGAGGAGAATGCCAAAGAAGAAAATCAGCAGGTACCCTCTACTTTTATAGAGAGGTGCCTACAGCGTTAATTAGAATATCTGTGCTCCACACAGTCATGGACCTTGCACCCACCCTCCTGGCCAAGAGTACAGGGAGAGGTAAGCACGTGACGGCATTTGCCATGCATTACGTAGGATAGCGACTTGAACGGGGAAGATTTCCTCCCTCAGCCATCAGCCCTGGCTCCTTCTGCCTCTCTCCTAAGTTGTCTGACCTCATTTCCTTCTACTGAATCTCTCCAGCAGAACTATCTCTTTTTCTCATTATATACAAGCAGTCTGACTTTGTGAACATGCACACATAAGAGCACTTTATGGGCTCTCCCCTCCCTTCTAAGTGTCACTTAATCTTGACCTGAGGCTGCCCCAGGCACCGGACCCCCCTGTGCCCACTTGCCACGGTCCTGCACTTTTGTCTCTGTTTCGGGCAAGTTCCCCTCAGCAGTCCCATGCACACTCCAGCCCCCTGCTGATCACAACAGTGCTGGCTTGTCGCTCTGCTCGTTGTGGCTTATTGTGCTACCCAGGAGGGTCTCCTTGCACCATCTACGCTCTTGTTTCAGAAAAGCCATGGTGTAGGGGCTGGGATGTACAGCACCCAGCATGCTGCAGGCCCAGCGTGTGACGTGTGCTCCTTGGGGCAGAGCTAATACACAGCCGTGGTGCTCCAAGCCCCTGTGTCTCCCCTGCTCCAAAGGAAATACAGCTGTTACTGTCCAAGTGAGGCTCCCTGGTCAACCCTGGCCATACAGTTTTCTGACCCAATTCACCAAGACCTGGGACAAGACACGGTAGTCCCTAACTATTACCATAAGTCATAAATGATCTCCAAATTTCAGCCCTTGCTTCTTCTATTAGAAGAGAAAACTCTGGAGCAAAGCCTGGCTTCCTCAGGCCAGGGATGTGGTCCAGGGAGGCAGAAAGACAAATTGATGGTCTGGTTCAGAGATAAAGAACAATTTAATGGGATGAGGATATAAAGCCTTCTGCCTACAGCAGGAGCCGCAGGGACAGTCCACTGTTACCTCACAGAGCTCCCTTACTCTCCAGGCAAGTCTTTGTTGTCTTTATTCAGAGGTAGATAAAAAAGGTGATTATTTACACAACTACTGAATCCTTAGTTGAAGTAGGATTAACTGAAGATTCTCACAAGGGCTTCAACATGCTGAAAAATCATTAGATCCTTCAGATATCTCTTGATGAAGGTGTGCCTTGGGCTCCTTGTCCTGGGGCTGACCCACGCTGCCACTACTGGAAGAGGAACCTTTTGGTAGCTCAGTGAAAGTCTTGTTTCCTTGAACCTGAAGTTGCTTTGACCCCCGAGACCAAGCTCCCCAGCTGCCTGTGGCTCCTCTGCTGCACCCTGGTGAGGGTGGGAGGTGGCCACACAGCATGGGTGCAAGTCCCTCAGCTCTGCTGGCTCTCCGAGGCTGCAGGGGCTCAGCAAGAGTCGGGGAGATCCAGGGGAGCAGCAGGTACGTGCAGTGTTTTTTGTGCTGTGCATATGGAAAAATACCTTCCAAATTAGCTGGGGGTCTGTCTTGTGGCCTGGCTGTTCTTTTTTTGAGTTGGTTTTAAATTTTTTTCTTCTTCTTTTTAAAGAAATGATTTCAAATTCTCCACTGATCAGTTTTTGGCCTTTTCCTAGCAATATTGCTAGGCATCACAGAAGAACCTGAGGTACAGAGACTTGGGTTGTGTTCCTGACACTGTGCTGCAGTCCAAGATCTGGGAGAACAGGCACAGCAAGGATTACTGTTACTCAAGGATATCTCTTACTCAATCCAGAGATGCTAAAATATCAGCTGAAGTGACGTTTCGGCTCTTTGTGGGGTTGGCAGCCTCAGAAATATTCCCGGTGGGCAGTGAAGTCAAATAGGTGGTCGTTTTCTGCACCAGAGGAGGCGGCTATGCCTGCACAGCCCCCAGAAGGGAGCTGGAGAGAAGGGTGTGGGTAGAAATGAAGGTACTTGGTCAGTGTGTGTGGAACAGCTCATGTTTAAGGAATAGGAGGATGTTTTATTTTTTTCAAGGCCAGATCTCAAATGAGAAAAGTGGAGGAGTATCAGCTTGACTTCTCTGCACAGCTTCACCAGGGCACCCGGTGAACCTGAGAGAACCTCTCTCTCTCTCCTGGCATGACTGGCTAGGTCCTAAACGCACCTCTTGCAGCTTTAGCTGTGCCTTTTTGTTTGATAAATGAGAGAAGTAGTAAAAATAGGTAAAGATACAACAAATAATGAGACGGGACAGCCTGTCCCTTCCAGATACCCTGAGGATTGATACCACCAGTCATTTTGCACTGCAGCTTTCCAGCTGCTCCAACCCAGGATGTTTTTTCTGCCAGGTTTAGTTGTAGGATGGCCGTGAGAGCCAAGATCGAGACCTGTCACTCTGCCACAGCCTTTAAACTGTCAGACAACTTGCTTCATCTAGAAGGCTGCTTCCCGATCTGCAGAAGCCCCTCTGCCTACGTCTGGAGAAATTAATTTGTGCATGTTTGCTGTTCACCATAGTGGGGCGTGCTAGACCTGCATGGGCACATGCAGAGTGCAAGCCCTACTAAAGAAACAATGAAATCCATAGTGAAAATATCAATGCACAGGGTTCTGATTTAAATGGGACACTAGGAAAGTAAAGAACATTTCCACCGACTGGGACAAGCTTCTGGAAGCGTTCACAGCGAATGCAAGGCACAAGTTTAACTTACTCTGGAGATCCAGCTGGGTCTCTGCAGACCCAAAGTACCTACTCCAAGCAGCCCAACTGCCATTCCTCTTTTGAATGGTAAATATGAACAGCAAAGCTCCTAAACTGACACCAAACATCCAACCATGCCGATGCGGTGATGTGATTTCTGTGGAATAACTGAACTTAGCTAGCTCTAAGCAGACACTAGAAAAAAGAGCATCAGCTTCTGGTCTCAGAATTGCAAAAATAACCAGAAAAAAATTTGAACTAAATGTCAGTCGATGTAATACTATCTTCCTGAGCCTACAAATAGTCTGAAGCTATCTCTTGGAAACATGACTAACACTGTTCCATCAGTCCGCTGGGTCATTAACTTCATGAAATTTCATAGACATGTAAAAGCTACACTAATAGTTTTCATTGCTTATGTTTTGGCAGAGAGACTGAGAAAGGAAAAGAGAAGTGGAGCCTAGGGAAGATGGAAACGTAGAAGATAAAAAGGAGAAAAATTAAGAGTTGCTGAAGACAAGACTAAGTAACCCTACAGGCTAAATTCCTATTGAGACAACATGGTGTTTTATTGCATAGATGGGAAATACTTGTTCCAAACGGCCCTTTTCTGCACGTAAACCACCAGGGAAGAAGGGGGAATTCTCGTCTAGTTTAGGAGGGATGTTGTTCTGACCCGATGCCACAGCATTGGCTGCGACAGCTCTCAGACCTGATTGTCTTTGCAGGGCCAGTCTGACATCCACCTTCAATAAGTGCAGGAAGTCCAGCACGAGAGCTCTCTGCACGTTTGAAATCTAAGGTTTGCTCAAAGAAGAAGGAAAGGAAGTTTAATATTTTCTGGACTTTTTTGTGAAAACGGAACAAGAGAGAAAGACTACCTACATGTCAAACGTGCTCTTCCACACAGAGGCCGTGTCACCAGTGTGCACAACCTGGTTCAAGTCCCTCTTTTGCTTGAGCAAAGAGTATTTTCAGAGCAGCAGCTCTCTGATCTAAATTCACACCATGACACATGGTGCAGATTAGTCTGTCTCTGCTCCTTTTTCTAACACTCAAGCGACCTGAATCCAAATAATCCCTGGCAAAAACTTTACTAAAGCTCACATATCTCAGCAAAAATGGCTCAGTTCAAAGATTGAAAATACTTTGCTAAACTATTTTTATTAGTAAACTGTCTTGAGCGAGTTCCACTCAGCTTAGAATGTCCTAAAACACAGACGATTAACACAGTGTAGGAAAATCAGTACAGTTAGCAAGCAGAAAAGGACAAAATGAAGAAACTATACAGTAAATAAAACAAGGACAAAATGAAAGGTGGAGAACAAAACTGGAAAAGGAATAAACCAGAGCCACTCCACAAAAAGGCAGTACCAATATCTAATTTAAGGTTCATGCTGAAAGACGTTTCACTGATTAAATGTTGTTTCTTCTCATCTCTGGATCGCTACCTCTCCAGAGCCTAGTACCTTGGTGACAGAATTTGCTTTAACCTAAATCACATGTAATACAGGGGGTCTGTTTTCTCTCTAGTCACTTGTTCCTCCTGCTACATACATGTTGCCTGTCATTTCCTCCATGTTAACTCCATGTCAGAGCCCAAACAGCATTTCACTTGACTTGTTCTTCTTGCATCACTACATTTGCCAGACAGCTAAAAGAAAGCCCTTGGTGATTCGTGTTTTGCTGTGTTTGATGCTCAACAGATGTCTAGATAATTAAAACTACCCGACCAATGACTTAGTCATTTCTGATAATTATTCCAGTAGCACATAATTTTCGTATTTCCCTGACCTCTGTGGTCTGCGACATGTCTTTTGCTTTTTCTCTTGTTCTTCCTTTTTCTGCATTTGTACTCACATTTTTGTGGCACTTCCAGTTGCTGTTTTACATCTTGCTGCTCTCGCATTCACTTCAGATGAAAAAGTCTGGTTGACAGAGGCCATCACTGTCTGAAGTCTGTTTTGATTTGATTTCCCAGTGGAAAGTGGGTGTGGTGGTGGTTTTTTATTTTTGTTTTTCCTTCTTGAAACTCCATTTTCTGGCTCATTTGTTCCAATGGGGACTATGACAAATTGCCTTCTACAACACTTTTCAAGCATCTATTGCTCTCCCAGTCAAGTTTTTTGTTCTGATGCTTGAAAAACACCTGTGTCTTGTTTTTTATCTTGTATTGATAACCTGCTTAGTCATTTTCTGTCATCGCCAACAACGAAGACCAGTCTCCTCTTCTTATTCTTGTCTCTTTCATTTTGCAGATTGTTGCACATGAGCAACTTTTTCTCTGACTGTTTAAGCCCTGCTCCATCACAGCTACGGTGGTGTTCCCTTCCTCAGCTATGAACAGGGGTGTTTGCTTCAACTTTCTTTCTGTTTGTGTACTGGTATTCCTCCCTGTGGTCTAAATAATACTTTTGTTCTACCTTTACTGTCTGAAGAGCTGCAAGCTCTTCTAGTCCCTGTGTTTACTCCAGCTTTGAAGATAAAATGGGTCAGAAGGGTATGATTTTGTTCTTAAGACATTTACTCCAGTATTTCTTCTGCCCTGTACTTCAGGTAAATTCCTCCAATTCTCCTTCATGAAGCTAAACACTTCACATTCACTGAATCAAGCCCTCATGTACAGCTCACATTCCCAGTCCATATCCCATGTACAGTTCCAGCACTGCAGGAGCAAGCAGTGTTTGCTTATAGCAAGGCTGAATTCAACATCATCTCTTTAATTGCCTCTGTGATTTCTCCAGCCCTCCTTGTTTTCTGTCCTTGACTCTCCTCACAAAGCAAATTCTCCACTTTATCTATTCAATGTTCAGCCAATTTCACAGCTTTCTGGCTTTGAGCAATTTTATAATCTCTTACTGTGCTAATCCCAGAACAAACAGGAAGAAAATTTCAGCTCTGACAAACTAACATCAGGGGAAAGCACAGCACTTCTTTAAAGCAGCACTGTCCCATCTCCATCTGCTTCATTTCTCTTGTTATTTAAGCAGAGAGAAGAAAATTCAGCACACTTAATGCTGGGGTTTAGCAGCACAGAGATTTTTTTCCTTAAAACACCTACAGGTAATGAATGTAATGCAACAGAAATGGCAGGTTTTGAAATCTATAATGCAAACTTATAAGCAAATGTTTCTAAGTAAAAGACTCTTCATTTTGAAGCAGAAAGAAAAAGAAAAGCTTGTAATTTTTCAGATGCCAGATTGTGTTTGTAACGCTGGCAGTTAGAAGTACCGTGTTTTGCCAGGTAAACAGAACAGATCTGATATAGAAATAACCAGCGCAGAAGAAGAACATGGAAAAGCAACAAATCATTTTAGTCACCTTCAGCCATAACGCTGACACACTGACAGCCTGCGCTTGCCAGCCCTAGCTACCCTGTGTAAACACCGGTCCCTTCCACTCAGGGTGTAACACAGCCCTGCCCACCACACCCCTGCAGCTCACAAGAGGAGCCTTTCTAGTGAAGCAGGGAAGTTACAGCCTTGGCCAGGACTGGGGTGGCTCTGGATACACAAGGGATTCATAAATGTTGATTCTGAAAATCCAAGTAAACTTAGGTGGAACTGCTCACACCCTGAGATGTTCCTCAGCACTTTGGGTACAATCTCAGGAGCCAGGGCTGAACAGATACACTGCCACAACGATCTCACCAGAAGCAATCCTGCGCAGGAGTACAGCAGGACTGACAGGATTGAGCCTTTGAAGGCCCCACTGCTCATATTACAACGCACACCACATGCTAAACAAGGCTTGTTTGTCTCCACTGCTGGCTACAAATGCAGTGCTATGCACTGACAAAGAGCACTCACGCTCCTCATGCTACCCAAAATAGCAACCAGTTGTAAATTGTTGTGTGACTGATGTTTTCATTAATTACAGCAGCTACCCCCACCTACTCCTCTCACCATTTGATGCAGCCCTATAAATTAACAGCATATGACTCTTACACAGTGATGTCACTGCACTGTATGGCTAAAATGCATGTATACCTGCCACTATTTTTTACTGCTTTGCATAAGACTCCAAGTAACAACACTTAAAAATAAGGAAACTTATCAATCACCATCTCTTCTGTTAATGCCATCATATTTAAAACAGATTACAGTTAATGACTGAATTCTTCTAAGATTTCTGGGGGAAAGTATGTATCCTGCTAGTAACTGCACTGGGAACCAAAACCTCTATCACAAGATCCTCTTCGTTATCCCTCCCTTCCTTTGTAAATTGTTCCTAATGCTGAATCAGAAAAGGGAAAATAAATTGAGTTTTTTTGCTACAGAAATGTCCAGCAGTAATAGCACATAGAATGACAATTGTAGTTTCAAAAAAAAAGAGCAAGTGGCGCTAACCAGTGCAACACAGGGAAGTACTTGGCAGGGCAAGGCTTGTCTGTGACTGTTATGAAGCTTTTCATTTTTAAATCTTCATTGTTTGACTTAATTCACTCTCACTCTTTTTAAGCAGCAAACTAGTTAAGAAACACTCCACCTTCCCCCATTACCTCCTGCAGCTTGATCTCATCTGGCTGGAGGATGCTGAGGACCCCGCTGCTTCGGATCTCAGGAAGATCCTGCCATAAATTGAACCTGGAGTTGGAGTTCCTCAGCAAACTGATTTGTGGTGGAGCTTTGCTTTCGGTTGTACTTGTAGGTTCTGCTTCGGATGGGGCTTCCTCAGTGGGTGAACTCTCCTCAGGGTCTGTCTGTGAGTCCTGCAGTCGTCTGGTTTCAATCTCCTGGCGTGTAGATTTATCTCGATATTCCTGATACAAGAGCCCTAGGAGGCAACAGTAACAGGTCTGAGAGGTTGCAGCTTAGCAAAAGAGTAGAAATGTACTGTGGGAAAGGTGGTTTGTTTTGCATTAGTTCACCCCAGCAGAGGTGAGAGAGATCCCTTCCATGCTGAGCGCAAAAGCCAATTACAGCATTCCTATTTCAGCCAGAAATGGAAACTATAAATGGAAGACCATTTCTAAATCTAAAGTGTTGTCAACAATCTGCTCTCACAAAACATTTAGCAATGCAGTCAGATGAAGCCATGATCAATCGGAAGATATAAAAGAAGCAGTTTGTTATTTGCAAGGTTTTTAAATGTTTCTTTTAAACCTTGATTTTCTCTGCAATATTATTATGTTACAAGTTTATAGCTTGATAGGTATGTGTGAGTGCGTGTCTGGAAAAGTGATACTGCATATACTGAAACCGCTTTACAGAAGCAATTTGATGGCCATGTGTATCCTTCAGGAGGAAACACTGAGCTCCTGCTAAGGCACTGGACAGGTCAGGCACTGGGAAAGCAAGCTACAGTTGCTAGCTTATTTTGGTATTGACTTCGTGGTCAGCCTTGGACACATCGCTTAATTTCCTTCTGTTTTCTTTCTCAGTTTCTATGATGATTGAAGATACAAAATTAACATTCAAAAGGTACCTGAATGCCACAGCACTAAGGAAAAGGCTCTGAATTCACACCATCTCGCGGCACATCAATCACACGAGGTGTCTTCTGAGTTTCAATTACTAAGTTCTGGAGCAGATGAAATTGCACAGCATTTGCCTCCACAACCTGATTTCAACTCACAACATGAAAAAGGTAGGAATCCTGAAATTCCTTGGCCATCTTTAGAATATCCTTTGTCTCTCCCAGGGCTTTTTAACTGTCCCATTTCTCTTTCTAAGTCATCTATAGGACCTAGAATATTAATTGCTCGAATATAAAATGTAATTTAGGAGATACGAAAAGACAAGAGAGCGTGAGACTGCTCTGAGTCACTGACTCAAACTGAAGGAGCGCGATTTACATTATCTCCCTTGATTTATGCTTGAATTGCAAAGTGTAACATGAACAAATAGAAAAAAGTCCTTGCTGTTAAAAAAATAAATAAATGCATCATTAGGGTTTAAAAATCTATCTGGTCACATGCAATCACGATATTGGATCTCAGAAGCAGATTCTGTGTGTAATAAGGTGAGAGACTACTGCGTCAGGAGTTTGTCTACAGAGGGCAGAAATGTAGATGTTACTGCCTGTTAAATCTCTGGGTCAGTTTTCACGAGGCTCTGTACCAGTCACTGTTAAAACTATATCAGAAATATGCTCGAGAAACGCGCAGGCACAAGGACAGCATTACCGCAGTCTGCGAGCGTATCTTGGTATCTGTTCTCCCTGGAAAGATGTTCAACGTCAGATTAAAATAGCAATAAGGCTAGCTGTGCCTAGGAAACCATACAGTCTTCTGTTAGCTTCCTACACGATAACCGAAGAGAGGAGACTTCCCCTGAAGTTTTTGCATGCTGCTGCTACTTACATAATTTCTCTCTGCATCAGCTAGGCTTATATGGCTTTCCTGAGCATTTCTGCCTGTTATTCAGCATCAGTGAGGGTGCTGAGGATGTAGTGGGGTGGGAAGGTGCCTTCAGGACTGGAGCAGAGAGCCTGCTAAATTGGCGCTGCTTTCAGGGGTACTGATCCGCAAGCTCAGCCTGTGCTCAAAGGCTCTGGTGCGGCAGGGCACTGGGTACCTTCTGCTGACCGAACCGCGCACGGGAGACCACGACAGGCTGGGAAGTAACACCCTGCAGCAGTACAGGCAGTGCTTGACTGAAGGGAAAACACACTGGGAATCTGAAGCGTGATCTATCTATTTTACTCATACTGGAGATAATCATACTTGTAGTGTCTGATTGTACAGCCATGTTGTGCTGGTGGGTCGGCCCTGCAAGTCAGAGGCAATTAAGGATATTTTATATAAGGGAGCTTTAGCATCCCTTGTGCACATCTGGAGAGCAGCCCTTTAAAAAAGATCCTCAAGACAAATTTCCCCCTTACTTTTAAGGATATAAAATCCAGACAATGAAACTTGATTTTGTTTCCAGGTTTCCTGCCTGACCAAATAAACAGATAAGACCTACGGAGACTTCTGCAGCAGGCAAAGGCAAATACAAACACGGGGAGATCCGAGTGACTGAAGGCATCTACTGCCAGAACTCATTCAGACGTGACAGCAAGGTAACTTGTTTTAAGGAGGGAGCTGGAGACTGGCTGAAGCACCACCACAGACAGCAATAGGGGGAGGAAGCAGAAAGGTGATGCCAAAAGACAAAAGACAGGTAGACGTTTAGGCAGAAGGAGGGCAGGAAGAAACAAAGAGGGTTGTGCTAGCAAGGGTAAAATATGTCATCACTATCTTGGTGTAAAAGGTCTGTCTGTATGTTGGTAAAGTGGTTACAATGGGTAGAACAAAGGCTTAGGTTAGAGAGAGAGAGGGAGAGAAGCCATGCAAAAGCCTGCTTTAGATGAAGCAGGAGATGGTCACGGCACAGGATGGGTTGTGTTAACACATGCAAGGTCAGGGAACAGGGTGAAAAGCCTGCTTATATGAAGCAGGAGATGGTCACGGCACAGGATGGGTTGTGTTAACACATGCAAGGTCAGGGAACAGGGTTTTGACGTGTTGAAAGGACAGCAATACATCTGGGAATTAGTGAACATGTAGAAAGAAGCCGAGATCAGTAGCTGAATGTGACTTGGAAGATACGATGATTTAGTAAATGCTCGTATTTAGTAAGTGAACAAGTACAAAAAGTCAGAGACCTGTACCAGCTCCATTCATTGCTTAATGTCCCACTTGTCCCTACTGTGACCTGGCTAAAGGTTACTCATGTGGTCAGAGCATGAGTTTGGCGTCGCTCGTTATCTGAAGTTGTTAAGGCTGATCTTCCTAAGGGGTGTTTACATAGTTTGTATAGTACATAATAGACTTTTTCCCTTTGTGTTTATTCCATTTAATTTCGCTGTCACAGTCTCCCTTCCTAGTGCTCTCAAAAACAGGGAGGGGAATTGAAAAACGAGTTGCTAATTGTGGCAAATGCTCGCCTTAGAGAGTCTGCAGTGCTCTTAAAGTAAATGTTATTACACCGAAAGCTATGTAAAAATCTCAGGAGGTCCAGAGACGTTTTCTCTGAAATTCTCTGCTCCAGTTTCAGATTTCAGACTTCAGAAAAAAGTCCATTAACGCCTCAAAGGCAGGAGGGAGAGAAGGGAGCAAGTATGCTCCAGCCATTTGAAATGACCTCTCTGTTGAGGATTAGCATAGCATCTCTGGTTGTCAAAACCCTGTCTCCTCCATCAAGGTGCAACAGACCTACTTGCCGTTACACATGCAAAGCTATGGCACGGCTTCCCTCTGATATACAGCACGTAAAAATAGATATGAATACAGCAACTGGGTTGAAGTCCTGCTGGTTTTAGCATTTTTATCATGCCTCTTGTCAGTTTACTGGGATTGTGCTGCTAAGGTATTGGCACATGGGCCTGGGGGAATTAGTAGCTACACAGCCAAAAGCAAGTAACAGATCTGGCAACACTCATGCAAATTGTTCGCCACTTTCCTCCAGAAGGCCCTGAACTCAGCTGTTCTGTCTGACAGACGCTGGCAGGCTGCTGGTTTCACATCAGCATCTTTCCCCGGCAGTGTCCCAGTGGCATCAAGCGCTCCAAGCATCAGCCCTGCCCACCACGACCTGACACCAAACTGCAGCTGCCCTCCTCTCGCAGCGACAGCGTGAGAAGCCTCCCCGCTCCTGCCAGGGAGGTTTGCCTTGCTGCCCAGGAGAGTTATCTATCCAGTTTTCCCATGCAAAGTCCTACGTTCCTGCCCTCTAGATTCAAGTATCTTGCAGTTTCGTTTCCTGAAACTGAACAGAACTGTTTAAAAATGAAGCTTCTATCTTCCCATCATAAAACCTGCCTCAGGATGGGAGTTAACTCCACGGCTGCCCAAATCTCTCGGAGGAATGTCACAATTCAGATGTGGGAAACCAAGAAACAAGCCCTCCTCTCCGCACCCCACCAAATACAAAAATACCACAAAAGCAAAAGCGTAACAGTTCTCTTCTCCACAACTACCCAGATAACCTCAACTCTGCCTTTACAAAGAGACCACAAATGATAAAATAACTTACTTTTCTGTTGCAAAAGCTACACCAGTAGCTGACCCTGGTGCATGCAGCTAACTTCCAGCAGGACAGCTGACCCAGTACTTTAGTCTTACACCTTTCTGAGTATGCAAAATCAAATTTTAGCAGAAAGTTGGCTGTAGCCTTAACAATTGACTGCTTCGTAATTACAAGAAGTAATTCTTTATGAATGGAGGTGAAGCTGCTCAGCGACAGCATTAAACCTCCTGCCAGGCAGCATGTGAACCTGATATCCCTTAAGACAGCTAAAAGCCTCTGCTAAGGCTGTGGTTTCTTCTGTTTTACACCAACAGCGAGAGGTCTGCCCGGCCAGGACCGAGCTGGGTCCTTTCCGGCACCGCTCGGGTTTAGATCTGGGTTTCACCCGCTGAACTCTGCGGGTCTGGGGGTTCAGGGGAGCGGGGGGCCCGGGTGAGGGGGATGGGGGTTCAGGGGGACGGGTGAGG